ACCCTTCGGGAGGCTGGGTTAGTTTTGTTTAGCCACACGCGGGAACTGCAGGGTGGCGGCTGAGCCCCGGAAAGTTTCCCGAGGCTGCGGGACACCCCTTCGGGGGAACCCCCTTCCACACCCACCTCTCCCCACCCCCCATCACTGCTCAGGGCCCGCCCTAAATGCTGGGGGATCGTGTACCTTCCCCACCCCCCACTCCACCTGGATGTACCAACTACATGAAACCAATGAAGTCTGGCTTTTCCCGAAGACTACTCAGATGCTTTATATGGGAGACGTTCTTCCCAAACGGCCACCCCTTTCAGCGTCCTACCTTCCTGAGCCTTGTGTGTGTTTAGGGCCCCAGCTGGGATCAGCGCTGCCGCGGGAGGGGAGGGAAAGACCTGCCTTGGGTGGTTGGGGAAACCCAGTCCTGAACCGAGAGTTACCCAGGGCGTGTCTCACGGACCCTGCCAAGCAGCCAAAAGGGGAATCAAGAGTTTAAAAGGGAGTCGAGCCAAATTAATGAAAGGTTCAAAGTCCTCTTGTCATCTGAGTGGATTTGCAGGCGTTTAGCTTGTCTGGTATTTCCAAACCCCCCCCCCCCTCCGGCGCTTACAAACAAGAGCGTTCCAATGAGATGAGCACCCCTCCTGATGTTATTGGGCATGCAAGCATTTGTTGGGAATAGAAAAGACCTGGGACCCAGCCAGCCAGTGGCTCAGTGGTTGACCTATGAACCAGGAGGTCAAGGCTGGGTTCCCCTTCAGGGCATATGCTGGATCCCCAGTGGGGGGCGTGCAGGAGGCAGCCTATCAGTGATTGACGTTTCATCATTGATGTTTCTATCTCTCCCTCTCCTTTCCTCTCTGAAATCAATAAAAAATATATATATTTTAAAAAGACCTGGGAACAACCGTCCTAACTGGTCATCAGGGGAATAGATCAATGAAACGTGTTATAGTCATTTGATGAATGTTGTAAAGTTCTATGCCTTTTACTTATAAATGGATTTGAAGCAAATAGCAAAATGTTGTCAACTCTGAATGGTGAATGCATAATTCTGTATTTTTCTATTTTCTTCCCCCCAAAATATGTATTGGGGCTGACAGGGAATATTCTGAATATGTCTAACTTTGTGACAGGGGTCAGCAAACGTTTTCTGTAAAAGGCCAGCAAATATTGTAGGCTTTGCAGACCGTGTCTATTGGCAAGAACTCAGCCACTCTAGCAGCCCTAGACAAAAGAAAATGAATGTGTGTGGCTGCGTTCCAATGAAACTTTATTTACAACACAAAGTTGAATTTCACATAATTTTCAGATCACACAATATTGTTTTGATTTTTCTCCAAACACTTAAAATGTATAAAACATTCTGAGCTGATAGGCCCCATGAAAACTGGTCGCATGCCAGATTTGGCCTGTGGGCAATAGTTTGGCAACCCCTGCTGTACTAAAGAAACCAAAATAGATACTGTTATAGATACTGCCTTTTCCTGTTACATGTTAAAATATACAATTCTGTATGTTTACATCGTGTTACTGAATTGCCTGTGTTTTGTTAAACTAGCAAACAGGCTGAAACTTAGTTATACGTGCAGCTGTGTAAAGTTAGAAGCCAATTATGTGAGAAAGGTAAAAAAAAGAGTCCATTCAAATCTAAACTCTAGCTCAAAATCAACTTCTGGAAGAATTTCCTTAAATGCTGTGATCCAGGCCCTCCTTGTCCTCTCTGCTCTCTGGTCTCCTGTAGCAAGGACTGTACCATTTATTTGCTCAGCTACCCAGTCATTATTTTTAACTTTTTTTAAAAATATATATTTTTATTAATATCAGAGAGGAAGGAACTGGGAGAGATAGAAACATCAATGATGAGAGGGAATCATTGATCAGCTGCCTCCTGCACGCCCCTCACTGGGGATCGAGCCTGCAACCCAGGCATGTGCCCTGACCAGGAATTAAACAGTGACCTCCTGGTTCATAGGTTGACGCTCAACTACTGAGCCACGCTGGCTGGGCTATTGTTTACTTTTCACTAGTGCATTCTGACTTGCCAATAGAGCTATAAATTCCTGGAATATAAATAGGTACTACAGCTGATTCACTTGTTTACATTCAGCTTTGTGGTTGAAAACCGTGTGGTCATGCAGACCTAGTTCAGATCCCAGCTTTGATAGTTATCAGCTCTGTGGCCTTGGACATGCGACTCTGGTTTCATCAGCTAAATGGGATAATAAACCAAGGGCACAGGCTGGGCTTGGGGTGTAAATACAATTGTGTGGGAAAAGATCATAGCTCAGTGCCTGGCATATAAACACTCAAAGGCATTTGGCAGAGAGCAAAAGCCCCATCAACCGTGTTGCCTTTCTAATTAAAGTGAATTAAAACAACTGGCAGAGAACATCACAAGGGTCTTTCACTGACATTCAGCCCCTCTTGTGATAAGAATCATCCCACTCAAAAATCATTTTCTTCTCAGCAACAGGAAAATAAGAATTGGCTTTGTTTTTTGAGGCTTCCCCTCCAGGAACACCAGAAAAAAAACTATGCTAGGCACACAGAGCTTGTTGTCTTGACAAGAGAGTGCCAAGAAAATTAGTAATCAAAGCATCCGAATCTTCTTTTTAAGAAAACTTGGACAGTACAGAGGGGCTGAAAAGTAAGACTTTAAAAGTATCTCACCCATTAGGACAGAGCTCCTGCCAAGGCTCTGTCCGCTCCTTCCTGAACTGTTGGGTGTTCTACTCGTGTTGTTCACTGAAGGTTCCACCTCCCAAACCTTAAACATCCAGGTAGAGACATCAGGATTAATCACACCATTATTCACTGAATTCTTTCCCAGTCAACAGGACAATGGAAAAATGCTGGCAAAAAAAAAAAGACCCTGAGAAGTTTGAATCCAGCAGGCAGTGAGGTTGGTATGTTTGTTAGTTTCAGACACAAACAACAGTATAAACGGGGAAGTCAGCCCTACCCGGTTTGGCTCAGTGGATAGAGTGTCAGCCTGTGGACTCCAGGGTCCCAGGTTCGATTCCGGTCAAAGGCATGTACCTTGGTTGCAGGCACATCCCCAGTAGGGGGTGTGCAGGAGGCAGCTGATCAATGTTTCTCTCTCATCGATGTTTCTCTCTATCCCTCTCCCTTCCTCTCTGTAAAAAATCAACAAAATATATTTTTTAAAAAAAGGGGGAAGTCAGCGGAGGCACTGACGAAGTTCTTCATTTGTCTTAGGTGTACTATGAGGAAGATTGTCTTAGGGGTACTATGAGGAAGATTGTCTTAGGGGTACTATGAGAAAGACTGTCTTAGAGGTACTATGAGGAAGATTGTCTTAGGGGTACTATGAGAAGGAACAAAATCAGTGTAACCACCAAAAACATCAGGACCGATTTTAAGACACTTTGAACCAGTAGAAATGTTCAGGATATGAAGGTGGACACAAAGGAGGTCTGGTCTATATTGAGTACTAGATAAACGACAACTGATATTATCAATTATGTGTTCAACAAACTTCTCCAAACTCTGGGAACAGGCAGCTCTTGGGTAATGCACCCACTAGGTTGGATTCTCAGCTCTGGAACCTACTAGCTGTGTAACCTTGCGGGAGCCACTGACTTCACCTCCTTACATCTCAGTCTGTACCTGTTAAATAGGGTTAATGCTATTCTTTACCTTTTAGGATTGCAGTGAAGGTTACATGTGTTGATACACATAAGTAACTTACAATAGGGCCTCTGTAAGTGTCAAGCTATTTGTTCCCAACGCCCCAGGCTGGACACACTCAACACCAAATCTGCTGGGTAGAATTCCCACCATGCCCAGCCACTGGGTCTGGTCACACCTTTCTTCTCCTCCCCCTTGAGAATAAATCCTAAGATCTCTTATAAACCCAAATGCCCACTGGCTATTTAGCTGAAATTTCCTCCTCACCAAATCCTTTCCCCCATTTAACCAAATCATCAATTTTTATACCCCTAATTATACCAGTCTGACTCTTATAACCCAGATATGTTCTGAGTTTGGGGATCACTGATGTTTCCAACTTTCCTTTTAACCCACTATCCTCCCCTGGAGGAGATGGGCCCTGACAACAAATCTAAGTCACAGATGATGGGGAGCCATGGCCTCTTGATATTAGCTTTGGATTCCATCCTGCCAGGATGAACGAGCAATCTGAGAGCAGAGTCGGGCATGCAAACTGCATTTGCTCAGGGCTCTTTGCATTAAGGGCCCTTTGCATTCTGTATTAAGGCTCTGCTTAATATATAGGTCTTGTAATTTTACTTTGCACTGGGCCCCACAAGTGATGTAGCCAGTCCTGGTCAGGTTGGCTGAATACCTGAAGGGTCAGCTGAGCAACCTTGCCCCACCTCTTGGACCTTCTTACACGGAGACAGAGGGATTAAGATCACTTCTTAGATTGGGAGGATCTAATCAATGTTTAAACACATAGAATATATTTGGAAGAATAAAAAGAAACTGATAATAGCTATGGTAACCCCTGGGGAGGAGGAATTATTTTACTATACAGCCTTTAAGAATATATCATTTTTACCCTCTACAAATGTAACCTTTCAAATAAATTTAAGGGAAGATTTTTAAACATCAACATACCAATTAATGTCTCTATCTCCACATTGAATCTCTTGTTTCCAGAGCAGCCGTCTTTGGCCAGCAAAACACTCTAGTGAGTGGGAGTCATTTTACTCTGCTTCAGAGAGCTTTGGAGATAAATTATTTCCCATCAGCAGTTTTAAATTGAACAGAGAAAGAGCCAATGATAGAAGCTGCAAAATTCGGTTGGTATCTTGTTGCTGTTTTGGACTTGAAACAGGTTTTTCTGTGAACACTCAAGGATAGCAAGTTCATGAACAGAAAGAGCAATGACCGGCATCTGCTTAATTGCAGGGTTGAGTAAATTAGATGCACTGTGTGTTTGAGTGATGGCATCTACACAACTTTGAGCTTCAGACGCTTTCTTAATTTATAATCACCTTATTCATGATGAATTCCTAGACTTAAGTTACACCATCCCTCACATATAGTTATAGAAAAAACTATAACCAGGCAGAAGATATAAGAAAGCCAACACCAAGAGAGTGAATGAAATATGCTTGTCATTGGTCCAAAAACTGTAAACACATCTTTTCCTTCTTAACTCCAGTCAGGGACCAACATGTACTCAGGAGCACACAGGGACCCACAAAAGCACCATTCGATCCTACAAAGCAGGGATGCTTCAGAAGGAAATTCAAGCAACAGAAACACCTGTGCTTACGAGATCTACCAATACCCATATGTGTAAACAAATTTACATAATGGTGGAGAGATAGCACAATTTCTAGTAAGATATTGGCAATTTTGCCCAGAAAGAACATAATCTTTAACACTTATACTAACAGGTGTTTATTAACAAAAGTTG